GAGGAAGGTCTCGGGGGTAGAAATATAACAGGTCGAAGACTGAGTCCCGAGACCTCCAACACTTTGAAGTAGAGGAGGAGGAGGCGACCATGAAGGACAACAGAGTATGATGTGCGTGTAGACGTGCATGCATGAACAGCCCCCCCCACACGGCCTTTGCTCTGGGGCCACACACCACGTGTGTATGTGCCGCTCTGCCAGCTGAGTTAGTGGACAGTGTGCCACAGATGCATCCCGGGTCAGCACACGTGCTCCTGTGTTCTTTTCCACGGCTACCGTTAGCCTGTCCCATGGACACTCCATGAGGCATGTGTCATACGTGTAAGAAGACTTCCATCCTGGCCAAGTGGCTCAGTCAGTCGGAGCCTCATCCTGCAAACCGACGAGCCAGCGGGCAATCCCAGGTTGAGGCGCATCCCTAGGTTTTGGGCGCGGCCCCCGGTCATGTGGGACAGGCAACTGATCCGTGCCTCTCTCTCCCTTCCTCTCTCTGCGGAATCAATAAACACACCCTCAGGTGAAGATTAAACATTAAAAACATAAAAAGACTTCCATCTTTTAGTGAGTATGGTTGGTACGGCAGGCTAACCATTTGGGAACCAGGAGGAGAGTGAGGAGCTGGGATGGAGAAAGCAGCCACAATGGGCGTGTCCTCCCGGGAGAGGGCGGGGCCGAGTGTCAGGGTGGGCGGGGCAAGTGACTGGGTGACACAGTGTGAAAGTCTGTACCTTAAAAGACCATCCAATTAAAACTCAATGAAACGATGGGAAAACCTGTGCAACACGTGGTGCGTGAAAGGTGAGGATCCCGTACGCCTGCGTCACCAGCGACAAGGCGAAACTCGGGGAGGTCACAGTGATGGAACCCTGGCTGTCACCACACACAGGAGGTTGGGCCCCTGAGGGGTTAGAGTGTGGACCCCCAGAGAGGCCGTGTTTTTGCCTCTCTAATTGGAAGAGAAGTGAATAAAACGCACGTGCCCTGTGGGCGAAGGGGTGGGGACTCGGCCGCCTGGTGCCCGGCCGGCCGGCGCTTGAATCGCATCAGCTTTTTTTTTTTGATGGGAAAAGTTCTTCGTGCTCATTTACGTTTCAGGAAGTAGGTTATCGTGACAATTAAGGGCTCTGTGTGATTATTGATTGGCTCTCGGATGAGAGGAAAATCAGCTCTAAAAGACATTATTGGGACAATTGAGGAGATTTGAACATGGGCTGCGTCCTCCATCACAGCCATGGTAACCACCTGGGGAGCAATAACAGCCGCACAGCTGCGGCAGGGAAGGTCCTTGTGCTTATTTATTTAAGGGTAGGAATCCCGATGCTGGCGATTCGCTTTCCAAGGGTTCGGCACAGCGTGTGTGCGCACCGCCTGTCTGCACCTCTCCCCCGGCTGTCATCTGTCAATCATGTGACCTACCATCTATTAGTCACTGATCAACTACCAGTCACCTGTCAGTCACCTCTCTTCTACACATCATCGATTATCATCCACCTTCCCATCGGTTATCTACCGTGCATCTAGCGTACAATCAGCACCTGTCTGGCCCGCACGGGAAAATGGTAACAATCAGCGCAGCAACGCGGCATCTGAGTGCTTGCCGAGTTACTCTGGCCTTCAACGGACTACAAGTTTTTAGGCTTGAAAATTTCCAAACAGACATTTGAAGGGAAGGCTAGGCTACAAAATAGATGAAATAATGCTATTTTATTTTTTAAATAGAAGTATGTTTGTAGTTTTTAGGAGCTGAGAGGACACACACTCAAATGCCAAGTGCCTGTCTCTGGCGGGGGTGGGGGTGGGGGCTGGTGAACTGGGTTTCATTTTCTTCCCTTGTTTTAAAGAAGTTCCAGCAGCCATACATGTTCAGTTGAATGAGAAAAATCAAGAAGCAAAGAACAAGTTACATGCCAGGTTCCTCTCAGAGAACACCTGCTAACATTCGCCGCCTGTGTTTTTGGAGGCTCTCTCTGCACACATGCACGAACATACATGTAAGTCTACATAGTAAATGTTCTTGCCAAAATGGGGCTCACGGCGCACCTGGGCCGGATGGCGTGCCCCGCACACTCCTGCTGTGCTTTAGCGGCCCCTTCCCTTGCCCCGCGGAACGTGTCCTGGCTGCACAGGGTAGGGGAGCTTCTCGCTGCTTGTCACGTTGAGGATTAGAATGTCCCGTGTCTCCTGGGATGACGTGACGGTGACGCCAGTACTCACTGCGAGGTCCTCCAGGACGACCACTGTGCTCTCCAATTACGAACTCCTTCGTCTTCACCAGCCTCCGGGGTGGGCGGGACCATCACGCCCACCTCCCAGATGGGCACTCAGGGGCTCGGCCTTGCCAACGAGCAGGCGTCAGGGTGGGGTAGGGTGGTGCTGCGTCTTCCGTGCCACCGGCTCAGGTCCCGGAGCAGCTGCAGCTGCTCCACAGCACCTGACGCCCAGGGCGACACCGCGTTCTCGGGAGGGCCCTCGTCCAGAGCTTGGTCGGGCAAAGCCAAGATGAGCCCTGTGGAGTGAAAGCGGCCAGGTCTCTGGGAGTTCTGAAAGCCCATGCGACCAGGGCACAGGCCCTGGGCCATGCCGCCCTCCCTGGACCCCTCCCCGGGTCCCCTGGACAGATGGCACAGGTGCGGGCAGCGTACGGGCACCTGCCCTGCTGGGATCCCGACAGATGGCCGGGCACCGAAACTGACCAAATGGTGTGCAGTGTGGTACCTGTGGGCTGTGTGTGTACATATACGGTGTATGTGTATGTGTGTGCTGTGCACGTGTGTGCAGTGTGGTACCTGTGAGCTGTGTGTACATATAAAGTGTATGTAACATGTACAGTGTATGTATATGTGTGCTGTGCACGTGTGTGCAGTGTGGTACCTGTGGGCTGTGTGTGTACATATACAGGGTATGTGTATGTGTGTGCTGTGCACGTGTGTGCAGTGTGGTACCTGTGAGCTGTGTGTACATATAAAGTGTATGTAACATATACAGTGTATGTATATGTGTGCTGTGCGTGTGTGTGCAGTGTGGTACCTGTGAGCTGTGTGTACATATACGGTATATGTGTATGTGTGTGCTGTGCACGTGTGTGCAGTGTGGTACCTGTGGGCTGTGTGTGTACATATACAGGGTATGTGTATGTGTGTGCTGTGCACGTGTGTGCAGTGTGGTACCTGTGGGCTGTGTGTGTACATATACGGTGTATGTGTTTGTGTGTGCTCTGCACGTGTGTGCAGTGTGGTACCTGTGGGGTGTGTATACACATGTGGTGTGCGGTACTTGTAGGGTGTGTACATATAGTGTATGTATATGTGTGCCGTGTGTGCATGTGGTGTGCGGTACCTATGGGGCATACATGTGTGTACATGTGTGGTACCTGTGGGTTGTGTATACATATATGTGTGCTGTGTAAACGTGTTGTGTGGTACCCGTGGGGTGCACGTGTATATGTGTGCTGTGTATACGTGCGTGGTACCTGTGTGGTGTGCGTACATACATGTGTGCTGTGTATACGTGTGTGGTACCTGTGGGGTGCGTGTGCATATATGTGTGCTGTGTATACATGTGGTACCTGTGGGGTCCGTGTACATATATGTGTGTGCTGCGTATACGTGTGGTACCTGTGGGGTGTGTGGCGGCCGAGTGCCCTTCGCAGTGCAGTCCCTTCCCCTCCAGCTTGGAAAACACACAGAACCGGAGAGTGAGTGCGGCTGGAGATTGGTCAATACCATATGCAAATAAATAAGTGCTAATTGCCTGCAGTATCTCTGGGTGTCAGGTGCGGTTATCGGACCACATTTATGGGCCAATTAGGCGCCTTCCCGGACTCGAGTGGTGATGAATGGAGCTCTGGCGGGATGTGCTGGGGGGCGGGGCAGGCGAACGCCCCTGCTCGTCACTGGCGATGTGGCCCACTCACCTGCATGTGGGGGCAGGTCAGGGTGCATCACAGGCCCGTGTGTCCTGGGGACATTCCTCCGGCCAGGTGCCCTCCGCCCGCCGTAGCTGCCGTGAGGGTCGGCTCCCTGAAAGGCAGCGCCACGTACAGATGGTGGTCGGTGGGAGGGGGCGGGTCCATTTCTGTGCGCTCCTTCATTAGGTGGACAAGTGGGCTGGCCCCCGGGTGACCAGACAGGCGCAGGGCCATGGACCCACGGGAGGTGTGGGGGGGACTAACTGCAACAGGAAGGCACAGTGGAGGCCACAGAGAGTGCCAAGGGCAGGGCCACGCCGGGGGTGGGCGCTTTGAGGAAGGGACCACGTCACATCTGAGACCCCAGAGGTGAGCAGGGCGGGCCACCAGAGCAGGGTCTTCCCTGGAAAGAGGCCGGTGATGCCTGGGAGGGCAGTTCGGGCTGTACCTTCTGTCTCCTCCTCTGCATAAAGGTACGATGTACGGAGGGGGCGAAAGTAGCTCTACATTTAGAAGTAACACGATCATGCAAGAATAAACCGTTTCGTGTATTCACGACATAAACCTACTCTCACTCCACCCTGTATTTCGTTTGAGAGAAACTTAACGGTGTTAATAATGAGAGTATTAATAGCGTCCCTCAGTGCGCCCTGGCTCCTCATCACGGGCCTGGGGCCGAAGAAGCATCTGGAACTTCCAGGCCTCTGGAAGCCTGAGCAGAAGCACCCAGGTGGCAGGTGGGGCCGAGTCCCTCTGGGCAGCTGCCCAGGCCCCTGTGCCCCTGGGGACAGAAACCCAGTAAGCGACCGACCCTCCCCAATACCCCTTCCCCCAGCAAAAAGCTCCAACAAAAACCTGCAGGGAAGCAGTGTGGACACACTCTCCTCTCTATTAGGAAGAGACCCCAGCATGTGGCCACCCCCGCTCCTCACACACTGGCCTCTCTCTGTCCCCTTGGGGGCGGGGGACACCATCTGGACGACGCGACACCCTGAGGCAGGAACGTGCAAACTGGCATATTCAATCCAAACAAGATCATGTGAAGTAACAGGCAAAATGAAATGTGTGTCAATGGCTTTAATTACAGTACAAACAGCATAAATAAAGCAGCAGTGAGTCATTGTGACACAGAAACTTGCTGAATGAAGTGATACAAAAACAACTCCCGAAACCCAAAAACAAAAAAATAAACCACCACCTGTCTCTGATGAACCCCAGGCTGCCCCTCCAGTCATTTCTACATGTCACCATTCACAGAAACAAAAAACGCCCCGTGAGGTCCCTGCTCCCTCCTAGGAACGTCCCTTGGTGGCGACGGCTGAGCTGCAGGGGCTCCCCACGCAGACACACACCTGGGGCAGAGGAGGACTCAGCGCCGAGTCCCGGGCCGGGGCTCGGCAGCGAGCCGGCGACCGCGCATACAGGGAGGGCACCCTCCTCAGCACGCAGCAGCCCGGGCCGGGACAGGGCCGCAACCTGCAGAACTTGATGGATCTCAGACCCAAAACCCGGGTGGGGAGGAGCCGTGGTGCCCTTCAAGGCCGGCAGCGGGGTCGTTTCTACTGTCGAGACGTGGGCCCTGCCGTAGGGCGGTTCCCAGCGGACCCTCTGCCTGCCTGCCGTGGAACAGCCCCGATCCCCGCTCCAGTCCCCCGTGCACCTGGGTCTGCCGTGGGGAGGAAGCTGCTGGGGCCGAGGGTGGGGTGGCAGGTGCAGGATGAGCTCACGTGAGAACCAGTCCCAGTCTGGCCACAGCCCCCGTGCCCTCGGTCCCGCGACAAACCTGCCACCGTGAAGGACCCAGGCAGGTCGGACACCTGCATGTGCAGGTGCTACCCTGGGTGGAAGGACGCCCTGCTGCACCCCGAGGCTCCTCCAATTAGATGCAAGCCGCCGTTCACGGTGAGCTGCTGGGGGTGGGCTGCTAACTCCTTTTTACAAGGGTTTTCGAACCAGCTCGGATGCCGGCTCCCCAGGCGGGGCTGGGGCGGACGCTGTCTGGCACGGGGGAGACGACAGTGGAATCGGATTCAGGGGCAGCTGTTCCTGGCTGCTGGGGTGTACGTGGACGGTCCCCAGCACCCTGCTTGGTTCCTTTCTCTCACTAGCACCTCGAGACAGAGGCCACATACTTCCCGTGACACTGAGCTCCAGCTCTGTCCTGAGGAGCCCCACCACATGGCTTGACCTGCACCCTGGGGGTCCTTCCCTAGAGATGCGGCAGGCCGGGCCAAAGTGGGAAGAGGGCCCAAGCCGCCCTCCTGTGCACCTGGAGATGCCTGGTTTGCACAGGTCGCCTGGCTGGAGCCCAAGCCCGTGTGCTGCTGACTGGACGGCACGCAGCGGACCCTGCCACGCTGGGCCTTTCGGGTGGGGCCAGGGCCTGGGAAGCATCTCACCCCTGGGGCAAATCTCGGGGCTGCGGCTGGGGTCCGAGAGCGGGCAAGCCCCTGGGCAGGGCAGCGTCAGGAGGGGACCGTCTCACCCTCTGTGTGCCAGGGCCCTGCCTTGGGAGGGTGCCCTCCGTGAAACAGGGACACTTCTAGAACCTGAGAACTCTCGACAGGTCACAGATGACACACACTCTGGTTTTACAGAAACCTGGATGGATGAAATATGCTCTGATCTGCACCTGGACCCAAACTGGAAAATGGGGACTGGGAACAAAGTGTCCCTGTGTTTATAAAAAGGCTGCAGATGTCCAAAATGAAACAGGGCACCGCAGGTCTTATTTAACCACCCCCCCGGCCCCCGTCGCATGAAGGACAGCGCTTCTCCTCTGAGGGGAAGCGCACTGGGAATGTCGAGGCCTCGGTTGTCACCGCTCCATGGGGAGGTGAGAGGTGAGGGTCTGGCAGGGGTGTGCCAGTCTGGGTGGCCCGTCCCTCTCTAACCTTGGACCATACAGCTCGTGGCCTCCAGTGGCTGCTTCCTGGCAGTGATGGCCGCACGTTCCCCAGAGCCCCCCCACCCCCCATCTCTCCTGAATCTCTGGAGGGGACCTGACGTTTGGGCTGGAACTGACGTAGGAGCTTCAGTGACAAAGGGCCCACACGTGGAGTGGGGCACAGAGCTGGCCGGTGGGGAGCTGGGGCCCCGCCCACAGGGCCACGCACCTGGGACCCGGAAGAAAGCCGTGTGGGGACGCAGGTGATGCGGCCCAGAGAGAACGCCAGTCTTGCTGCCAAAGGCCCCCCTTAGGCTTGTGGTGGAGGGTGAGGGGGAAACTGCTGTGACGGGCGGCCCCCGGCGTGGAGCGCATGCGGGCGGAGGCTGCTGGACGCGGATCGTGTTTCCTGAGAGGAGGGTGACGTGTGTCCCCTGCACGTTCCTGTCTGAGCCCCTTCCCGACTGCTTGTCAATCTGTTTGCTTGAAGGACATCCATACAACCCAGGGGGATTCTAGAAAAGTCCTGCTGGCCTTGTGGGCACGTGGCTGGGGGGGCGGTGGACACCAAGCAGGTGTCGGGGGAGGGGACCGCCCACCCAGGCAGCAGTCCCAACTCCTTTTGTCTTTGCAGGAGTTAGAGTGTCTACCTTGCCAGGCTCTTGCACCTCCCTGGGCCAGAACGCAATTGCTCCGTTTCCAGAACATTCTAAGTGCACGGAGAAAGGGTTGGCGGCGTCGGAACCATGGGGACCCAAGCCAGTGCATGAGCACAGAGGAAGGACAGGCAGGACCTGATGGCCACTCCCAGGGGGGAAGGTGCATTGGTCAAGTACAGGCACAAGGCAAGTTCAATGCCGCCGGGAAAGGGAAGGCAGCCCCAGCGAGGCAAATGCTGTGTCCAATAGTATGAGGTCAGGGTTTGGCGCAGGGAGCGCAGGGCCTGAGGCCATGCTCTGCCAAGGTAGGGTGCCCCCGGCAAGTTCCAACTTTCGAAGGAAGTAGAAGAGGCCGCAGAAATGAGGACTGGCCCCGGAGTGTGTCACCAAGGCCCCTTGGCACCCAGAGGTGGCACCTGAAGGGAGGGAGGCCTGTCCACCCCCCCCCCCCAAGGTGCGGGAGGTGGATGGGGTCATCTCGGACCAAAGCGACATTATAGGGGGCATGAGGCAGGACCCAGTGCTCTCCATGCCTCTGGAAAAGACACAGACCAGCAGAGCGGAGGACGTGTGTGGTAGGGGGCCCACGAGATGGGGCCTGGGTGGTTCGGGCGCCTCCCTCTGGGTGGGGGGCTCTCGGGGGCAGGGGACTCAGAGCGCCCACCAGCTCCACAGAGAGAGAAGGGTCAGAGGCTCACAGGGAGGGGCAGGCTCAGGGGTGGGCTGGCTTTGGCCCCGCCCACACCTCTGTTCTTAACAGACACACCTGTCTCAGGATCTCTGGGCTTGCAGCTGTCACATGCTGTGCAATGTCACCACACCTTGCGAGGCCACGTTGAGGCCCAGACGAAGAGGAAGAGCCCGAGGAGCCGGACAGTCGCCTGGAGCTGCACCAGTGGGACAGCAGAGCCAGGTGACCAGGTCTTCCTGGCCCTGGGCGGGCGGTGCTGCGGGACCGTGCTCTCCCTGACGAAGTCAGGGCAGCTCCTTCACCAGCCCAAGAAGGGCCCTGAATGCCCGAGGGCCTCTCCAAACCGGGAGGGGCCGGGCCCACGCAGACCTCACCAGGCTGGACAAAAGCCCAGGAGGATGGAAGGAACCCAGGCCCCGAGGCGCCTGGCTGGCGTCAGAACCCCGCCCAGGGCGATTCTGTAAGGGGGAGCTGCCCAGTTTCACACCCCACGGCTGGTGGGCGCCCTGTGGCCCCGCCCACATGCTGCGCAAGTGCCATGTGGCGGGCACTCACTGGGGGACAGAAAACCACACCTACCCTAGACCCATTCATGAGCATGTCACTTCCTGGGATGGCAGGAGATGGACGGGACAGGGGACAGGACTCGGGTTCTGGGTTCGGTAAACTGCCCGTCCACCCTGGTACCCGAGGCCCAGCCGTGTGGGGTGGGGTCTGGTGGTTTTCCTCTGTGGGGTGTTCTCGGCCACAGAGGGAACCCAGCGAGGTCGCCCGAGGCTGCCTCACGTGTGACTGTCCACTCCTGGGCCTTCCCCGGTGGGTGGTTTCTCCTCCAGGGGAAAATGTTGATCCTGAACAGGAAGGCCATGTGGTCACCTTACACTGTGACAACTTCGGCCACGTCCAACGCCAGCCCCGGGTGCTTGCTTCCCCAGCCTTGGTACCTGCGAGGCTCTAAGACAGAGTGAGAGGGGTCAACGAAAGCGGCCTCCAGTCCGAGGGTGGGGGGCAGACCCACGAGCTACCAGTCACCCCCAACTGAAAGGAAACCCTAGTGCCTTCGGCTCTGCTGCCGGGGCCCAAGGACACAGGCCGCCTCCTGATCTGCCACCACCACTGCCAAGAGGAGGAGCAGAGGGGCCGGTGTTCCGAGGAGGTGTCTGTGACATCCGGGCTGGGGGGCCCACTGAGCACTTGGGGAGTGAAAGGGTGCGAGAACCAGTCACGTGGGAAAATGCTGCATTATAAACACACATAACAGTGTGTACACGCTCGTATACACCCCACAGGGAAGCCTTACAAGGCCCCCTTCCTTTCGGGAGGCAGCCCCGCTGCCACACAGCATTGGACAACGAACTAACTCAGGGCTCTCATCTGCGCTCCACGTAGCCACTGTGCTGGAGGCCGCGTGGAGGCGGACGTGCGTGGCTGGGTCAGAGCGGTAAGGCTTCCTCAGAAACTGGCAGCGACCGTTTTTCCTATTTACACTCAAAAGAACCGCACGGTGATGATGCGCGGAGTAAAACCCGGGTGGGGGACCATGGGCCTGCGTCTGCGCCTGGTGTTTCCAGAAACTGCCGAGTTCCACGGAATGCCCACCTGCACGGAAATTCTGTGTAAAGCTTTATTGTTTCTTACCAACTTTAATGTTTTCTTTTTTTTTAAGTGAAAGAAGAGGAAAAACTCTCACAAAGTAGAAAGATTAACATACGAGGGCAGGGAAATTCTGGAGGCCGCCGGGAGGGCGTGGTCTACGCTCCTGAGCCGCCACACAGGACTCCCAGCCCCGCCGCCCTCCCTTCCTGCCCTCAGGGCCTTGACTGGTGCACTCCGTCCGTTTGGCCTCCACACTGGAGGTGGCCGAGCCTGAAGCAGCCTGATGCCACCATGATGAACGGGTGACGGGCTACGATGGATGGCCTGGCCCCTGATGAAGCACCTAGGACTCTCCCAGCCGCTCTGGGCCACAGGGCCGTCGGCAGTGGTCACTGCCCCCCCACCATCATGAGCTGGGCCCAGGACTTGGATTCGCCGCTGCCCGGACCAGAGACCCCACTGTGCGCCCGCAGAGGCGGCATTGAGTCTAAGTCACGCTCTCCGTGACGAGGACCTCACACGCCCCTCCCCCTCTGTAATTCGCTCGGGTCTTTCTCTCCCCTTTCTCGGTTTTAATAAGCAAATTGCGCTGCCGTCCTATTCTGATGGGCCCCTCTACAAGCCGTACATCACGTTAATGGAAGTGTTTACCGCTGCGAGCCCCTCCGAGGACAGCGGTCCACAGCCCTCCCATCTCAGCTAGGCGCACGTTATTAGTTCACATCCAGTTCAATTTATAAATTAACAGAGGTGCCATTCGTCTGTACAAAAATCAATGCATATTTATGAACTTCTTTTATTCAAATAGATTTCCACACATCGTGTCTGAAGACATAATACAGAAGCCTGTGTGAGTTGGGCAACATGGCCCAGGAGTGACGGAGACCCGATACGTCCACCTTGGCGAAAGGACACAGAACCTCTCTCCCGTTTGGGGGCAAAAATAACCTTTCGTGCAGTTAGTCCGTTTGCTACACGCCCCCGAAGCGTCAGTTAGCTGAAAGCATGGTTTCGCCCTGACTTTGAGTTCCTCTTATTTATTTTTCCCATTTTGTTTTTGCACCAAGGAGACTGCAGTCAAATACTACTCACGACCGATTCCCCCTCTTTGGACTGAAAAATTAAACAGAGACTAAATTATGACAGTGAATTTAGAAAGGAGGGCTCCGAGGGCTCGGAAGAACATGTCTGGGATAATATGATGCTTCTAAGAGCATTGCAATCACATCGCGGCGCGCAGCGGAGCGTGCCGCGTGACTGCCTCCCCGGCTAATAGGCTTCCTTCGCGGCGATGACTAATCAGGTTCTATTAAACAGCGGTAATGCTGCAAGAACTCAACTATACGAGTGTAATGAAGCCAGCGCCCTCCCGGGACAGATTAGCTACAACTGATTTGACACATACCATCATAGGGGCTTCAAACCTGACAAACTCGGCTCGCTTCTGATTTACGCCGTCAAGCCCCTCGGAGAGGAGATGAGATGGATGCTAGCGTTCGGTGGTGGAGGTGAGATGTGCTGATGTGCTCAACCGCCGGTGCAGGAGGGCTCTCCTCTCGCGGCGCCGCTGCCCCTCCCCCTCTCGTCCACCCTGTCCCTTGTGCCATGCTCTGTGGGCCGCGGGCACCACGTCCCGGGCCGTGTGCTATCGTCGGCCGACCGAGGCTCGTCGGTCGCTCCTGCGTGTCGACTGGGGGAGTCCACGGGAACAGCGCCCCTGCAGCTCGGCCCCGCCTCCGCCTCGCGTGGTCTGTCCAGGGCCGGTGACGTCGCTGCAGGTGCGGGGGGCGGGGGGTGGCTGGTGACCACCGGGAAGAGGGAGGGGCGGCGGGCGGGGGCGCGGATGCACCTCAGATGACGGTGGGCACCCGCCCGCCGCCCCCGCCGCGGCCAGCGCTCTTCCTGGCCAGGCTGGGCGTGGCCACAAGCGCGGCGCGCTCGTCGGGACAGCCGTGCTGCAGCAGCAGGTCCGCGCACTCCTGGCTGGAGGCCTGCCGCGCGTAGGCCAGCGCCGTGTTCCCGTGGGCGTCGCGGGCCATCACGTCCACCCCGTACTGCGGAGGCAACAGAGCGTGTTAGAGGCAGGGGTCCCCAGGTGTCTGCTTTTAAGGCAGGAACGTGCTTTTGCAACAAGCCCCTCCTCCGTCCAACAGAAACGAACCCTGGCGGTCCGGTTGCGCTACTGCGATTTTGACTTTCCTGCTGCAGACACGAGGCATTAGACTCATGGTCTCGGAGGCAGGTGGCTGTCGTGGGGGCCGCACACAGCTAACGTGTGAGAGTGAAGAGAGCGCCCCCCATCACCTCTCTAGTCCCTGGTAATCTCGGGTAACAGTTCAGCGTATTCTCCTTTGAGTCTAATGCCTCGTTGAAATAAAACTTACACACAAAACGTGTCTCTCTCTTTTTTCACTCAACACTGTACTGGGATCATTGTCTCACATCACTAGAAATCATGCAAAAGCATGGCTCGCCACAGCTACCCAGCATCCCCCAGGGACACACTCTGGGGACTCTGTGCTCGGCACTGCGCGTCCTGTGTGACAGTTGTTGCTGGCGTGGACAGCGCCGTGGTCCGCCCCCTCCCGTGGGATGTCCCCGGGCTCCCGGACGACCAGAGTGGCAAGGGGACAGGGAAGCACTAGCTGGCACCATGCCTCAGGTCTAGAGTTTCTGCCCTTGGACAGGGTGGGGCTGACTTTGGCTGCCCCCATGTCTGGGAGTCTCATCACGCTCTCGTCAGCCTGGAGTGTTGAAATGAGAGACTTTGGCGAGTGGGGGGAGGGGAAGATGCTGTGCCAGGACTGTCCGACCCTCGGCCTTTGGGCCCCATGGGGCCGGGGATGGCTCTGAACGCGGCCCAACACAAAGTGGTGAATTTACTTAAAACCTTTTCTTGCTCATCAGTTTTCGTTACTGTTTGTATGTTTAACATGTGGCCCAAGATGGCCCTTCTTCCAGTGTAGCCCAGAGACGCCAATGGGTTGGACACCCTGCTGATGCGATTTGTGATGGAACTGCATCCCCCCAATTTCATGTGGGGTGGAGTCTGGAACCCCAGTCCTGTAGGGGTGACTGCGGGTGCAGGCGGGCCTTCAGAGAGGCTGCGTGAGGTTACTGGGGTGAGGCCTAGACCAGGGTGACTGGCGTCCTGAGAAGAGGGTGAGGCCCCACTCGCCCGCCCCTTGATCTTGGCCTCCTGGCTTCCAGGATGGGAAGGAAAGAGGCGCCTTTCCTTGCCATTCCTTCCACTGGGGTCGCAGAAGCCCCCCAGGCCCCAGTGGCATTCTGTTGGGGGGGCCTGAGCCCACCGACCCCAGCTGTCAACATGAGCAGGATGTCTGCTGGTCTCGCTCTCTGGGCCCCCAACCCCCCGCCGCACCCGAGATGGTAGTCGGGCCAGAATGCTCAGGGCGGAGTCGCCCTGCGCTGTGCTGCACAGACCAGTCTCTGGCCCCGGGGGCGGGGCCGGCGGGGGCCGGGCAGGGCACCCCCCCTCTGGGCAGTGCCCTCCACACCAGGCACGCTCTTGGCAGGCAGCTTTCTGCCCCTTTCAGAGGAGGCCCTGAGGGTGTGGGGTACGGGCATCTCCATGACAAACGCCCCCGTGGGAATTAAAATAACAACTCCCCCAGGGCTGTCAACCCTCCCAGTTCAGGGCGTGTTCCTCTGTGTGACTTCAGTGAAAACCCCGGGCTGGGTCAGGGGGACCCCAGACACCACTCGGTTTTCATCCTCCCTCTCCAACCCTCCCCCCTCCCCACATAGTGGGAGCTTTTTTGGTGGGTGAACAAGACTCCATCCACCACTCGGGATCCCAGTGGGTGCCCTTGGGAGGCGAGCTCTGTGGAGACTCTAGCAGACCCTGGGCAAAGAGGGCTGCAGTCCCCATGGGAGGCCGGCCCGTCCCGCTGGCTGCGTCCCGGACTCCACCAGTCCTGCGGGTGGGGGCAGGGGCCTCTGCCCCCAAGCCCCAAATCCCCCATTCCTGCTGCTTTCCCGTCCAGGCTGGTGCTGAGGTGCCTCCGTGTACCACGCCCCCCTCCCCCCGCCGCACGCCTGGGCCACCTACCCAGATCAGGAGCTGCGCCAGGACCACGCTCCCCTTGCGGCAGGCTAGGTGCAGCGCTGTGCGGCCGTCCCCCTCGCCGCAGGTCTCGTTCACCTCGTCCCGGGAGCCGTGTGCTAGCAGCAGGATGACCACCCGCAGGTCCTCGTCGGCAGTGGCCCGAAGCAGGTGCTGGCCCAGGGACAGTTCGGTGCAGGGCAGCGGGGCCAGGAACAGCTTCTGCTCGTACTTGGCCCGGATCCACCGCTCCTTCTCTTCCCTGCAACAGGCAGGTGCGGTCACAGCCAGGCCAGACGCAGAGCCTGCCCCTCTGTGCCTCCACCTTCCTCACCAGGAAGCAGGAGAGGGGGAGTCAACCAGCAGGGCACAGCAGTCCTCCCCAGTGTGGGGAGCCCTGTGGTTCGCTGAGTGGGGCGCCCCTCCCCAGGAACCTGTCAGCAGAGTCTCCAGCCCCAGAGGTGTGCAGTGTCAGAGCCTCGGAGGGCATCGTGGCAGACCCCCCAGGGTGTGGATGTCCCCCCCCACCTCGAGCTCTCATGTGATTCTCTTGCATCCACTGTGGGGCTGCGGCCCTGGAGACCCCCCGCCTGCCCGGGATCGGGGGGGCATGATGCGGGACAGACACCACAGGCCTGGAGGTCCATTCCGCTGTGAGGACAACTGTGAGCCAGGACTGAAGACGCCGGGCCAGCGCCGGGCAGGACAGTGGTGGCCCCCCACCTGAGTGTGACTTGCTCTTGGATTGTCGCCCACCCCACCGGAGGGGTGGGAGAACCCTCGGGGGCTCTAACCTCCTGCAGCTGAAGAAACACTGCCACAGACCCTCCTGGGAGGGGCAGAGACTCGAATGGGAAGCTTTCGAGATGAGTGGTAGCTGGCCCCCCCTCCCGCCCCCGTCATGCAACTCTGCTGTCTCTCCAGATGCCTGGGGAGGCCTTACATGGAGAAGGACATGGATTCCTTGAGTGACCAAAAACGGCTGGGTTTTCTGAGGGACAGCGTGTGGGGCCAGCCTGGGAGTCCGGGCAGGCAGCCCAAGTGCAGAGCCGGGCCAGGGGCCCAGAGGAGAGGCTGGCGATGCCCAGGGGCGGGGCCTCAGGGCGGCAGGCGTGTTAGCGGCGCCCCTCCCCCAACGACACGCCCACTGAGGATGAGCGACAAGAGCTGGGTGGGTATGAGATCCCCCCACCCCGCCACTCCCGGCTTCAAAGGGGACTGGACACTGCCTGTGACACTGCAAGGGGGGCTGGGAACAAAAAGGAGGGACAGGATGAGGTGTGCTCACACTGATCCCCCTGGGCTCCAGCCTCTGTGGCCGCTGATGGAGGCGTTTGGTGCTGCTTCTCCGAAAGGACATCGGCAACACTGAGGAGGCCGCCGTCCTCAACACTATGCAGCATTGCTGGGGCAGGGACAGGGCAGGGACTTCCGGGGAGGGGGGGGTCCGAGAGCAGGGGTGGGTGCTATGCCGTGCTTTCCACTGAGGGTGAGCAGAGCTGCCCAAACACCCCTCGGAACCCGCATCTCCTCCCCAGGGTCCCCAGTGCACGCAGCCACCGACGACCGGGAGCTCTCGGAGGACTAGTCGCCACCCTCACAGGAAAAACTCACTACCAAGGCGTTTTTCCTGCTGAGAGCAGAAGGCCGCCTTGTTTACCCCTCCCTGGCGGACTCCACTCCCAGCCCGCCTGCCAGTCTGCGGAGCGCTAATCTGGTTTAAACACTTAGGCAAACACCTTCCAGGGGTGAGCCGGGATTAGTTCTGCTTCACTTCCTTGTACCTGCGGGTGACCCCGGAGTGACCCGACCCTTTCCATGCCGAGACTCCTGGGCAGGACGCTGGGCTGCAGCTGAGACGCCACCCCAGCAATGTGGCTCTGATGGGGGCCGGAGCGGTGTCCCCACTTGGGCCAAAATACTGGAACTAGCCCTGGCTGGTGTAGCTCAGTGGATTGAGCGTGGGCTGCCAACCAAAGGCTCGCTAGTTCGATTCCCAGTCAGGGCACATGCCTGGGTTGCGGGCTGGGTCCCCAGTTGGGGGCACGTGAGAGGCAACCACACACTGATGTTTCTCTCCCTCTTTCTCCTTCCCTCTCCCCCACTCTCTAAAAATAAATAACAAAATAAAATAAAGTAAAAATAAAACCCTGCAACTGGAGCACGGGCTCGTCTTGGGAATGCCCGCCAAACCGCGCCTCCCGCCACTTGAGACCCTGATTTAAAATGAACTGCCTGTGTCCGCGCATCACCGGCGAGGAAGAGTGAGGTGTGAGCGTGATGAATGGACCAGCGGTGAGGGGCACGCTGGGGCCCCCCAGTTCTGCTGAACGGCAATGATTCCACTTTCCCTGCAATACGTGAGCCCCCCGAAGCGCGAGGACGAGCCCCCAGCTCTCGAGTCCCCTCCTACTGTCACCGGGTGGGGTGACCCTGTGCCCTCGAATCTGGGGACCCCACAGACAAGCTCACCCGAATTCGCTGACCTCGGCCCGCCCCACGTGAGCATCCCGTGTAAACCGTGCTCTGCTTTTAAAGGTCAGCGCTTAGAGGCGGGTCTGGGGTGCTGGGGCAGGAGGCGCTCGCTCTTCGGGAGGAAGACGAATGTCGCACGTGTGTGAACTTAGGGGCAGGGCTGGAGAGGCCGATGAGCTGTATGGCTGGCCCGCCTGCGGCCCTGCAGGGGCTGGAACAGGGCGGCGTACTGGAGGCGGGGAGGGGGCCGGCACCTGCCACGGTGACGGTGACAGCGGAACGCAGGCGGGCACCCTGCACGTCTGAGGGCTGCCCGGGCCGGCACAGGCGCAGTGCCTCCGGGCCTCCCGGGTGTCACCCTCCACCAGGATGCCCCTGGTTCTGTTCGAGGCGTGGTTTTTATTTGATGGAACCATGGCTCTTCCCCAAACTTCTTGTTAAAAATAACCCTTCGGCCCTGGCGGTGCGCACCCAAGGGTCCTGGCTTCCATTCCCAGTCGGGGCACGTAAGGGAGGCAACCAATCGGTGTCTCTCTCAATTCGATAAGTACATTAAACAAGTTTCGACTCCGGCATTTGGGCCCCAATGCACTGTGCTGTTTCCGAGCTCTCTCGAACGCCCCCGCCTTGGTGCTTCTCCACAGCACCAGGATCCCGCTCGTGGGGGCAGAGCTCAGACGTGAATGCATCGGGGCTCGGGGTGCTCCCTCGGCGCCCCTGCCCAGACACAAGCACCGACTGTTCCTCAGCCCCATTCCTTGTGCTGGCCGCCTGCCCTGACAGGCTGGGGAGGGAGGCTGAATTTGGGGCGCTCTCCAGTGGCCCCAGAAAGAGTTCAGAGACACAATGTCGGTGCCAAAGACCGTGGGTCTGTGAGTCACTCCTCTCAGGGTGCAGGCTTCTGCAGCCTCAGGGTCACCCTGGGTCCCCTTTCAGAGGGCATGGTGGCCTGGGACGAGAAGCCCCGTGTCCAGGCAAGGGGCTGCTCTGCAAATGGCAGTGGCTGGTGTTGGGATCACAGAACGGCAATGGTAATGACTCGCCGAGCCCCCTGGCACGCAAGGGAGAGCTCGGCTGCAGGGTGGCCCGTGTGACGAAGACACGCTGGGGGAACCAGGTGGGGCACCAAATCACCTGCTGGACGCTTTCGGTTTCTGAATCCGCGTTGCCTATGGGTGGGAGCCTAACATGGTCACGTGCTTGGTGGGGAGTGGGGGCGGCCCTGGCCAGCAGCCTGGAGAAGCCCACCAGTGTCTCATGGGCCAGTCTTGGTCCCAGGGTACAGCGGGGCCTGGGACTCTGGGGCAAGGGGTGCTCGGCTGGGTGACAGGACCCCATGGGTGTCAGGCTCTCTGGGGCCAAGTCTGGTCCCATGTCTCAAGTCCTCCTGGAAGTTTGGAGGGAGTTACGCACCACACCCTTCACCCCTCCCAATTCACACGCTGACACCCGTCCCCAAACTGTGACATATCTGGAGGTAGTGTAGGAGGGGACGGAGGTCAGATGACGTCGGGAGATGAGGCTGGGAGCAAGCTGCCGTGACTGGTGTTTCATGGGAGACAGAGACCCCCCCCCCCCCCCCCTGCACTGGGAGAAAAGGCCTCGTGAGGACACGGTGCAGAGTCGCCGCCTGCACGCTGGGAGGAGGCATCACCAAAAAGCCACCCTGCCGACCCCTGGACCTTGGACTTCGGCACCAGGGCTGTGAGGAGGCCCCTGGACCTTGGACTTCGGCACCAGGGCTGTGAGGAGGCCCCTGGACCTTGGACTTTGGCACCAGGGCTGTGAGGAGGCCCGTCTGTCCCTGAGGCCCTGCCTCCTTGCTGCTCTCACCTGGTCTGGGCACCGACAGCGAATGTGTGGAAGGTGAGTGCTCTGACCACGGGGCCTTCTGCCTAAAACCACACGCTCTGCCCAAAGCCATTCACCCGAGCAGCCCTGCAGCCGGGTGCAGACCCCCTGAGCTTCCCCTGGTGCCGCAGGCCCCGTTCTGGGACCCACCGGTCTCGGCCACGCTCCCCGCTCCCCTCAGGAAGGCCAGTTCAAGAGCAGAGGAGCCCGGCAGTCCATCACCTCCCCTTGTTCCAGTCCCTCGGGGCCCGCTGCTCACAGCCCCTGTTAGCTAATGAGCTAAAAAATGAATTATTGGCGTGGCCGGCCGTCAGCAGGGCGGGGGAGGCCGGCTCCTCATTTGAGCCCCTTGCTGACACACCTTTAAATAAATCAACTGCATGGGAGAGGAAATGAGAGAACGGGTAACTAATCAGAAGACAGACGCCAATCCAGTCCCCCCAAATAAAGATCCAATCGAAGGCGCAATAGTAAATACTTTCTCCCCTCCTTCCTACAATAAAGCTCTTTTAGGGGGGGACTCACCTCCTCTGGGGCCCTGCCCCGGAAACCAGCTGGTGCTCGAGTCACCAGTCATCATAGGATTAGGGGATCAGTGGGTGGGGGCGCCCAGATTGAGGGTGCTGTGTGCCCACAGCCTGGCCTGCAGGCTGACTGACGAGGCTCTGCCACCTTTGACTTTGAGGGATGATGACAGGGTCAAGGCTCCATGTGTCCCTCCATGACCCCCAGGACATGTCCCACCTCCAGCCAGCAGATTCAGTGCCTGGCAAATGGAGTCACCTGCTGGCACCAGGACACCGCTGTGGGCCAGCCCCGGAGGCCCAGTGTTCACTGGGGTGGCGCTGGGCTCTCACTCCAAGGATGCTGATGGCGCCAGTGAGGACTGTGCTGGCGGTTCCTGATAGCACAGGGCTCTCAAAGGAACCCTGGCGC